CTGGACCCGTCCGTGGTTAGGAGATAATTTCCTTCTTCGTTTCCCGCCTTATCTCTCCCCGCACACATGAACCCCCTGCCAGGAGAGAGAAAATGCTTCTTCTTTCCCTTCTCAGGTTTGAGATCCTTTGGTCTTCACGGCCCAGGAGAATCTCATTATTGACAACGTGACAGGCATGGGGGCGTTTGTGACGTCGCCTTTCCAGCCGCTTGATGAGATTTCTGTGAACCCTTAGAGTGGGCTGTCTGGAAATATCTGGAAAGCTCTGCACAGGCCTGCCTCACTTTGAGAAAGACCACTGTGTGGGGCGCCTGGGGGGCTCAGTCCGTTAAGCGTCCGACTTCAGCTCAGGTCCTGATCTCGCAGTTCACGAGTTTGAGTCCTTCATCGGGCTCTGTGCTGACAACACGGAGCCTGCTTGGGATTCCCTCTCTCTCTCTTTCTCAAAAAAAAATAAATAAATAAACTTAAAAAAAATCATCCTGTAGAAAGTGTCCCGTCAGGAGTGCAGTGTGGTCTGCTAGAATCGTGATAAGAATCACTGACAGGAAATACACTGGCCTCGTTCCTGACTGATAACGGTGAGGCTACTTCTGTGACTAGTGGATACACTGCACTCTGCTGAACCACACGTTTAACGATGCTTAGATGGTGAGTTTCATGTTCCGTGAAAAATTTCACCATGAAAAATTTTGTTTGAAAAACAATGACTGAGGAAGCGGTTAACCATAGTTTACAGCTCTATCGGCCCCTTCCGTGCAGAGGCTCTGCTCCGAAAAGCCAGTGTCACTGCTCCTTGCCACCGTCCGCCCCGCTCTGCTGCCGCTAGTGTTTCTGCACACAGCCGGCCGTCTGCAAAGACAGGGCCTCGCGCACTCCCATCCCCCTGGTTGCCAAACTGACCATGTGGCAGTAACATGGAGCAGACCCCACTGACCAAGCCACGGGCCAGACACGGTCCAAACACGAGGCCTCACACCAGCCCTGGAAAGTCAGTATTATTGTATTATCTCCTTCAGACAGACGAGGCAGCTGAGAATCCACATTATTAAACAACTGACCTCAGTTCAGACGACGGTGAGGCCAGGATTTGAACCCGGGTTTCTCTTAGGCCACAAGCCAAGCGGCTTTCCCCAGGACAGGTGACTCCCAACCTTCTTGAGCCCAGGGGCCCTTTCGAATGGCGCACGTCTTCACAGACCTGCCCACGGGAGCGGTCATATTTTCAGTGTCTCCTGGCTCTTGGTCACAGCATTGTCACAGCATCTGTCTACAGTCTTAAAATGACGACACCTGATGTGTGTCATGTGAGACTGTCTTTCTCTCTCTTTCTTTAATTTTAGAGAGAGAGAGAGCATGAGCGGGAGAAAGGGACAGAGGGAGACAGAAATCTTAAGCAGGCTCCACACTCAAGCCTGGTGCGGGGCTCGATCCCACAACCGTGAGGTCATGAGCTGAGCTGAAATCAAGCATCAGACTCTCAACTGACTGAGCCCCCCAGGCTCCAAAAGTCTGACTATTAGTAAAGCTACAGAACTACCTTTGTGCCTTAAAGCTTCACAAGAGAAGAAGCTGATGGTAGCAACAGGTAAATCCAAACATGTTTCAGCGAACATTCATTGTCCCTGCGGCAAAAAGGCAGCGAAGACACTACTTGACACTCAGGTAGGACCTGAGTGACGACTTTCTCTATTCTACCTGGAAGAATGAAAGCTTTGGGGCTGAGCAGTGAAATTTGACATTTTTTCCTTTGCAGCATCTACTATAGCAGCCAGCGGTCTCTTTCTCCTAACCCCGGGTTTCCCTCCTCGGCCATCCCCCTTCCCGGCAACGGGCAAGTGGTGAGGACCATAGAGGATTTTACCTTGAGTGGGTCTGAAGTTCTCCTTGCCGACGTCCCTTAGCTAACACCTGCGCCTTGCCGGGAGCCGGCCACATGGCTTGTCTCTAAGTTTGCAGCCCTGCAGAGAGCAAGCCCTCTTTACTTTTATTTATTCATTTAATTAGTTTTGCTTCTCAAACTTTTTTTTAATGAATATAATTTATTGTCAAATCGGCTTCCGTACAACACCCGCCGCTCATCCCAACAAGTGCCCTCCTCCGTGCCCATCGCCCACTTTCCCTTCCCCCTCACCCCCCATCCACCCTGTTTGTTCTCTGTATTTAAGAGTCTCTTATGGTTTGCTTCCCTCCCTCTCTGTTTATAACTACTCTTTCCCCTTCCCCTCACCCATGGTCTTCTGTTAAGTTTCTCAAGATCCACATCTGAGTGGAAACACACGGTGTCTGTCCTTCTCTGACATTTCACTCAGCATAATACCCTCTAGTTCCATCTACGTTGCTGCAAATGGCAGGATGTCACTCTTTCTCATTGCCAAGTAGTATTCCGTTGTGTAGATAAACCACATCTTTATCCATTCATCCGTTGATGGACATTTGGGCCCCTTCCATAATCTGACTCCTGTTGAAAGCACGAGCAAATCCTCTTTAAAGGAGAGGAGCGTGTCTGGATGTAGCACTGGTCTAAGGACGAAGTGAATGTGCTTCCAGCTCACTGCCCACCCTGACTTGATTTGGCTGCATCCTGGACTGTTTTAGGAGGTTCAACTACCGGTCTCAGTTCAAGGTCACGGGCAACTAGCTTTTGTGGCTTTTCCCAACAGCTCCCTTGTAGCCACTTCCAGGATCCAGGCGGTGGCTCATGCTGCCTTACCGCTGCTGGCCACAAGGGGTCCCAGCGGTCCTGCCAAGGGGAGATCTGTGGGGCGGAGCAGGTGCCTCTAGCCCCCAGCCCCCAGGGAGAGCTGCTGAGCTCAGCCACTGGCCCCGGGGTCCACAACCGCGTGGCACTGTGGGAGCAACAATAACCCACGCGCGACCACTGTGCTTCGTGTTATTAGTGCAACCAGCACAGAGCGCAGCCCCGGGGACCCGTGCAGTCTGGGTGCTCGTCCCAGCGTTACTCTCACTTCCTGCCTGACCTTGGGTGCGTCCCATCCCCTCTGAGACTCTGAGAAGACAGTTGGAAGGGCTCTGGTTAGAAACTGGAGTCCAGGGGCACCTGGGTGGCTCAGTCAACTGAGTGTCCAACTTCGGCTCAGGTCATGATCTCACTTGAGGTCGAGCCCCGCGTCGGGCTCTGTGCTGCCAGCCGCTTCGGATTCTGTCTCCCTCTCTCCCTGACCCTCCCCCGCTCGCATTCTGTCTCTGTCTCTGTCTCTCTCTCTCTCAAAACTAAATAAACATTTAAAAAGGGGGGGGGGGGCAGACAGAAATTGGAGCCCAGAGAGAGGAAGCCACCAGTCCAGTGTCACTCAGGAGGAGAGTGGCACACCGGGCAGAGCTGTCCCTCTTGGGCACATTCCTCAGGGGTGACACTGTGCATGCAGCTCCGGGCACCCGGAAACTCAGGCTCACAGGAGCTGAATGTGGGGACGCAGGCGCGCAGGGAGGCTGAGGGCACCCTAATATCCACTGAGCATCACCCGTGCTGGGTTTTCCTCACGCTGTGACTTATCCTCATAAGGATCCTCAAGGCCAGTGTCATTACCCACTTGCAGGCCCAGAGAAATGACCTGGCCCGAGTCCCAAACTCAGACGTGATTTTAACCCAGGACTTTGCAACTACGAAGTCCCTAGATTGGCTTTCCTGAGGGACGGCACTTGATTTACTCTTCATTCATTCACTCCGACGCCTACGGAGCCCCGAGCACATGCCAGGCACTGCTCCAGACCCGGCCGTGCAGCCGAGGACGAGGCGGCCAGAGCACCCGCCGTCACTGAACCTGGACAGACAAAACAGGTGACACGTGATACGAAGAAGACCACAGCGAGTAAGGGACGGAGAGGGACAGAGCCCGTGGGGGTGGGGCGGCGCATGCGCACCTCTCAGTGGTCAGTTGCCGTGCTTCTCGAGGTGCGCCGGCTCTGCACTGTGGGTGCTAGTCTGCAACACGGGGAAAGAAATGCTTCTTCCCTCTTGCTGTATTTACGCGACGAACAGTCCAAGGGCCAGCGCTGGTCTGTTGAATCGCACCTGGAATAATCCTGCCGAAAATATTTCTGAACCATTTGGTCAGTGCAGCTGATGAATGTACCCCGTGTCCTGGGACCCGGTCGCCCCGTCTTCCCTTCCCGCCTGCCTTCCCGTCACGCTGCACAGGCCCCAGGGAACCGCTGCCCGCTTCGGGGTGGGGGGATGGGGTCTCCCTCCTGGCGCGAGCGATGATCCCAGGCTCACCAGCCCCTCCTAAAGGAAGACGTCCCCTCCGAGTCCATGGCTGGCTTCGAGCTTCACGGGTGCTGGAAAGAGATCTGGGTCCCAATTCAGGCTGAGTCACTTGCCAGCCATGTGATCTTGAAAATGTAGTTTTCCTTGACTCTAAAATAGGGATAGGATAATGGGGGGGGGAGGGGGGCGCCTGGGGGGCTCATTCAGTTAAGCGTCCAGCTTCATCCCAGGTCATGATCTTGCAATTCAGGAGTTAAAGCCCCACGTTGGGCTCTGCACTGACAGCTCAGAGCCTGCTTTGGATCCTCTGTCTCCCTCTCTCTCTGCACCTCCCCAGCTCTCTCTCGCCTCTCTCTCTCTTTCTCAAAAATAAACATTAATGGGGCACCTGGGTGGCTCAGTCGGTTAGGCATCCATCTCTTGGTTTCCACTCAGGTCATGAGCTTATGGTTTGTGAGCTCAAGCCCCACATTGGGCTCTGTGCTGACAGTTCAGGGCCTGCTTGGGGTTCTGTCTCTCCCTCTCTGTCCTTCCCTTACTTGCTCTCTCTCTCTCTCTCAAAAATAAATAAATAAACAAACAAACAAACAAATTAGTGATCATGGTGCTTTGCAGGATTACATCAGGCACAGCAAGGGCTGGACTCATGGCCTGGGCCACACAGTGTGGAAGCCCCCATTACTGCGTGTGCACCCAGGGGAGCCCCCATCCAACCCTCCCCCCCCCGTGGCCAGGGACACTGACAGCCTTTTCTGGGGTCTCTTCCCAGATTGCCAAGGGATCATTGAGGACGTCGTCCTGCTGGGTGCGCCGGTGGAAGGAGAGGCCAAGCACTGGGAGCCTTTCCGGAAGGTGGTGTCTGGGAGGATCATCAATGGCTACTGCAGGTCTGTTGAACCTTTGCGCCAAGGGGGAGGCGACGGTACTTCCTAAGCACGGAGTGTGCCTGGGCCCTGCGCTGGGGACACAGATGTCTGAGGTCTGGCCCCTGTCCTGGAGGATCCCAGGGACCAGCGGGGCTCTGGCCTGTGAGGAGCAAGGCCCAGGCCAGGTGTGCTGCCCTGGGAGGCCTCTGTCCCCACAGTCTGAAGATCCTGAAAGGGCTCTCCCTGTGTCAGGTCTGAGACCGCTTATAGGGTGACAGGAGAGGCCAGGCTGGTCACCACAATCTGGGGGAAGGGGAGGTGGGTGGGTGGGACAGGCTGGAAAACAAAGATGGGGCCCCAGCGCAAGGTCTGTGAATGCGACTGAGGGGCTCCTGTGTGCGCCGGCCAGCACTGCAGGAAGGGGCGGGCGAGTGGGTGGGCTGAGCTCCCAGAGCACCTTCCAGGCAGGCAGGGTGACAGTGGGAGGAGCCAGTACCACGCCCACCGAGCAACGACCACAAGATGTGGGCGCCTGTGAAGGCTGGCGGCTGTGAGGCTGCAAAGGAGGCACCCCTGTTTGAGCGTGGAGAAGGAGGACTTGAGGGCTCCATGCCAGGCCGTGCCCCAGACCCCGGGGAAGAAGAGCTGAAGCCCAGCGCTGAGACTGCGGGAGGTCCGCCTGAGAAGGCGCTCAGGCCCATCCATCAGCCTCCAAGTGAAGCAACGGGGTGACAGTATTTAAGGGCAGTGACTTAGAATCGCACAGACCTGGGTCTTCATGCTGGCCTCAGTTTCCATCTGTTAAAGGGGGCGATGGATAATAGTAGTAACTCCCCCCAGGGTGTGATGATAGTTAAGTGATCTGCAGAGTTGCACACGGTGCACGCATGCTCTGTGAATGACAGAGGGTGTCGCTTTTTATCCTCTGCACTGCCAGCCTTGGGATATTCATCCAACAGACTTTTTGTAAGCACCAACCTCCTGCCAGGTACGATAGGGGGCACGCCGCAGCCCCGTGGAACCAGTGTCCAGCAAGGAAAAGAGGAAAGCAGGCAGCTCCAATTAGGCATCTAGAAGCCCGTCTGCGACACTAAAATCCAGAAGCTCTAAAATCAAAGGCTTTTCCCCCAGGTCTGGTGCATCCTGAACTGCCGAGAGGGGGCTCTAGGCTTGACTTCTCCCGTGGGGCTTCTGGGCTGGGTGACTTCAGGGCACCACCCCCCAAACCTCACAAGGGGATTACGTGACACACGGGCTCCAAGCTGGATCACCTCCCTAAAATCCAAAGCATTACCCTGAATTCTGAAATCTGGAGTCGGGCTCCAAGGACTTCGATAGGGGACCTGCATTTTATGGTCCCGATACAAAGCACAAGGTATGGACAAGAAAGTGACATTCTAAGCCCAGATCCAAAACAGGTTTGGGGTGTAGGAAACAGGAAGGTTGGCCGACTAGTTGTGGGCTCCAGTAACACAGCGATTTAGAAAACAAGGAGCTAGGCCTCAGGGGAGTAGTTGATCCAGTGGGTCGTGAACGTGACAATTCTACCAGCCAGCTGGAAACAGAGCGCTAGAGCTCAGAGAAGTCAGAGCTGGAGTGAAGGCCAGTGGGGTCACCAGCTGACACTGAAGCCAGGGGACAGCGGAGATCGTTGGAAAGGCAAAGTATAGAGAAAAAGAAAAGCGCTGGATTCCCAATTCTAAGTAATATGTTTTGGGGAGGAAGAGGCTCCAACCTGAGGTTGGGGCTACTCAGGGTCGTCTGGCATTCTGTGCCTGAGCCTGTAGCTGGCATGGGAACACAAGATGAGAGAGGCTCACGTCTAGTGGAAAGGAGACATGTGGAAATGGACAGCAGTGGGACACCTGGGTGGCTCAGTCAGTTAAGCGTCTGACTTCAGCTCAGGTCACAATCTCACCATTGGTGGGTTCAAGCCCCATGTCAGGCTTTGTGCTGACAGCTCAGAGCCTGGAGCCTCCTTCAGATTCTGCATCTCCCTCTCTCTCTGCCCCTCTCCTGCTCACACTCTGTGTGTCTCACTCTCTCAAAACTAATTAAACATTAAAAAATCTTAAAGGAAATAGGCAGTTACTAAAAAGTCAAAACTAAAAATGTACAGTATGAAGGGGAAAGATATAACAAGTATTAGACTCTTGCCACCTGCCAGACCCTGTCTTTGTGGCCGTGATCTCCTTTAATCCTCCCCAAAACCCTGTGGTGGAAGTACGTTCATCCCTTTTACACATGAGAAAACTGAGGCTCAGGTTAAGTCGTGAAGCCAGCTAACTTTAATTTTGACCTACGCCCGACCATCCTAAGTAGGACCCAAATCTAAATGGAACTGATATGGAAAGCCTTTATCATTTTGATGATTTAGGCTGCAGGAGCAGCTGTGTAGTTCAGAGCTAAAGATAAATACGATTTTTAGGCACAGATAGAGGGTGTTAGCCAGGACACAGGAGTTCCGGCAATCAGTTTGGCTCTATCACTCATACTATAAGCTGACCTCTTAGAATTAGGATATGGTTGGGGCACCTGGGTGGCTCCGTTGATTAAGCGTCCAACTTCAGCTCAGGTCATGATCTCAGGGTCTGTGAGTTCCAGCCCTGCATCAGGCTCTGTGCTGACAGCTCAGAGCCTGGAGCCTGCTTCAGATTCTGTGTCTCCCTCTGTCTCTCTCTCTGCCCCACCCCTGCTTGCATTTCCTCCCTCTCTCTCTCTTTCTCTCTCTCTCACTCTCTCTCCTTCTCAAAAATAAATAAATATTAAAAGTTTTTTTAAAAAAGATTTAGAATGTGGTAGGAAGAACAAAGAAACAAGACAAAGCCATAATATATAAAGAGTTTGTGCAAATCATTAAGAAAAAAAACTAATAAGAAAATGGTCAAAGGATCTCTACACATAAACTCACAGAATAAATACAGACGACAATTTTTTTAAAAGATGCCAACTTTATCATTAATAAAGTAAATGCAGATTAAAATCAGTAAGATACCATTTATCACTCATCTGAAACATGATTAACATTCAATGTCGGTAAAAATGTAGAGAAATGGGCACTGCCATACACCATTGGTAACAGTTGAATTTAGCAAATACTTTATGGAGAACAATTGGCCATATCCCTCAAAATTTTTGATGTGCCTGTTTTCTGGTCCCACACATTCTGACTTCTGTGACCCTGCTCTACTACACACACACACACACACACACACACACACACACACACAGAAATGGATGTGCAAAGAGACACATTGCAGCTTCGTTTATAATTAAAATTTTAAAACTATCTAAATGAAAATAAAGACATTAAAAAAAAAAGGAGGCTCCTGGGTAGCTCAGTCGGTTAAGCGTCCAACTACGGCTCAGGTCATGAGCTCATGGTCCATGGGTTCAAGCCCCACGTCGGGCTCTGTGCTGACTGCCAGCTCAGAGCCTGGAGCCTATTTCAGATCCTGTGTCTCCCTCTCTCTCTGACCCTACCCTGCTCGTGCTGTCTCTCTCTCTCTTTCCCTCAGAAATAAATAAAAACATTTAAAAAAAAAAACCTATCTAAATGACCACAATTGGAGAACAGTTAACGGGGTGGGAGAATCAAGTACAGCTTGCATACTATGATTCCATTTACGAGGGAAGAAACTTCTTTGTGTGCATATTTGTATCTGTCTGTCTGTACATGCACAGGAAGGTCTGTACATGCACAGGAAGGTCCAGAAGGCCCACAGGAAATGGGTAATGGTGTCCACCCCTAAAGATTGGAAGTAAGGCATAAAAGAGACTTTAATTTGATTTTTTTTAAGTAAGGATAGTTTAAAAAAACGAGAAGAAAAAGAATGGACAAAGCTTCAATGTCAAACTATCAGTTAAAATCTCGAGGGTATAACAGTCCCTCCTGCACAGAGATTCTGGGAGATTAAACGACATTATTTAGGAAACGCACTGGCTCTTAGTAGGTGCCAATAAACTATAGCAGTTATAATAACCAGGGCATTCACAGAGCACTTGGTTTTTTGGTGTTTTTCATAAACAGCAAAGGGAAAGAATTAAAATTGCATGGGTGCAATATGAAAGCAGCAAAAACGTATTAAATTCATCTGTTCTGCGGCAAACCTGAGGCTAATAAGCTTGGTTTTCAATTATTTTGTGAGATCCTAAGCCATCTCTCTAGAGAGGGGAAGAGGGGAAGGAAATCCAGCAAAGGAGGGGGTGGAACACAGGCCAAACAAGAACTGTAGTTTCTTGGTTAAACTGAGCACCGACCAGAATTTCATATTCTTGGTCCCCAAGGGTGTTTTACTTGCGTTGAACCTTAAACATGATGGGGGGGGGTGGGTAGGGGAAGCTCTGGGGCAACACTACCAAACAGTATACACTTATGATTTTATAATACACATTAATAAAGGTCTTTGCAAATCTGTTTGCTTAGTTGGGCTTTCATGAACCCCCGGAAGCTAGCCAGGGTGAGTGGTAACACTCCCTGTTGCACCGTAAGGAAACTGAGGCTCAGAGAGGGCCAGGTGCCTCACCAAGGTCACACAGCAGAGCCAGGATGTGAACTCAGGCAGGCCTGTCTCACTCCACGGGGAGAGGGTCTCATTCTGAGCCTCCTGGGGCACTTCTGTGGTCGCTGCTCCAAATACCCCGTAGGGAGGGGATGATGGGAAAAGAGGCAGTGAGGATGCCCGCCTGCATGTGGCCTCCAGGCCTGTGAGTAGCCAAGGCAGCCCTCCCCACAGGCCATGTGGCGGTGAATCCCGAGTTCAGTTGTGATTGAAGCATAGGCAGGGGCAGGGGCGGGGGCGGGGGGGGGGGGGGGGGGGCAGGTCCCGGCTGGGCCCTCTCACCGGAGGAGTGGCTGCTTTGTCGTTTGTCCAGTTCTCGCGGGAGGGCTGGGGGGGGGGGGGGGGGGGGGGGGGGGGGGGGGGCGGGCACTGAGGCCTGGCTCGCCGGACCCCCACCAGGGGGCGCTGATGCAGCTCAGGATACAGGACAAACGCACAGTCTTGGCGTCCATAAGCTCTCCGCCTAGAAAAGGAAAAAGACCCAAGAATGGACACACAGAAGGCCTGGGACTATCCCAGGCGCACGAGGCACAGAGGATTAGTAATATTAGGTGGAGGGGCTCAGGAGCGCTCCTTGGGGGAGGTGACGTCCAAGCTGAATTTTGAAAGGACGTACAAGAGCCCATCAGAGGCTGGAAGAGAAAGCCAAGCAAAAAGGCCCAGAGCGGGATGCGTAATCAGAGCGGATGCTTCCAGAAGATTCTCATGTTCGAGCGCCACCTACGTGATGTGCCATCTCAGTGTACGCTCCTGCCCACCCTGGGAAGTAAGACACAGTGAGGAGACTGAGGCTCAGAGGGGGCGAGCAACTCACCCAAGGTCACACGGCTAGTAACTGGCAAGGCAGGACCCGAGACTGGCTCTGTGTGGCCCCGAGCATAGGATCATGGCCCGCCCTGGGCGAGAGAGGCCGATGCCAGATGGAGAAGGGTCCTGAATGCCAGGGAAGACCCTACGGGTTGCTCGGCACAATGTAGAAGATACAGAACCTTGAACATATGTTCCTGCTCTGTCCCTAAATGTGTACCAACAAGTAAGTGCAGTTAACATTGTAAGTAGAGTGTTGTGATAATTAAGACGAAACGGTTCAGAAGGAACAAGGCTGACTTTGCTCATTTATAACTGTCTACAGCAGAAATATTTACAGACCCCCTCGTACCCAGTGTCTGATGCTCGGAAGTCGTGATCAGTGCGATACACCTTGAGTTCATCTTTCTTCTGCACTTAGTCATCCGTTCTCAGAGACATGCTTCCTGGGCCCTCAATATTAAGATAATCACTGAGACTTGCAAGCATTGCTCTCTGGAGAGAGTAAAGGACTTTTCTAGAAGAGAAAGCCCAGAGGCTGTGGGGAGGCACAGTCGGCTTCTCAGAGAGAAGGGCAGCGGTCAGATGAGCGTTTAAGGAAAGCCGCGGTGGCACATGGGAGGCGAGGCCAGGAGCAGGGGAGCAGGTAGGAGGCTGTTGTTCATGCGGGCTGGGTTGCCCGATCTCAGGGCCGGAGCAGACCTGGGTGGGTACAGGAGCAGGTAATAAAAATCAGCAGGACTCTGCAGTGAGTTGGCCTTCGGGGAAGAGGGAGCCTAAGACACTGCCCTGCTGGTTTCTGCCTGAGGGACCAGGCGGACGGCAGTGGAGACGGAATCCAGCCCCTCAACTCTGGGCCCCGGTCCTTCCAGGGCTTTCCGGGGCGGTGAGCACACAAGCACCCATGCAATCAGAGAGCACCTACGAGGGAGCCTGGAGAGCACCCCCAAACCCTGGGCCCCAGACAGCAGTCACAGAGACAGGGCAGGGACCCCTGACTCGGAGCCCCTTCCCTCGTGCTGCACAGGGAAGCGTTCTTCCGCACGAGCACACAAACGTAACGGACTCAAGTCACCGCACAAACCAGAGTCAGAATCGGTCTAAATAAAAGACACCCAGGTACCTGTGCTAAGCAGGATGCAAGTCCTGGACGCAGAGGGGAGACGAGGAGTGTCCACTTGCACAGACCTGCTGAGCAGTGAGGCCAGGGGCACGGCTCTCGGCTGGCCCAGCTTCAGCCGGACAAAGTCAGGGGTTCGAGAGGGAAGGCTGTCCCGTGGGACCCGCAGACCATGTCCCCACAGGTAGGGCCCCTTGCACGTGACGCAACAGGCAGCACGGGGTCCTGGGTTCTTCTTCTCCGGGACTGTGTGTGTGGCTGGGGATGAGGTGCCGGGAGCAGAGTCCCCGCGCCCGTGGAGGTGGAGGACAGTTCCCAGGGCGTGACCTGCTGGGCAGCCGCGCTCGCCTCTTCCAGGACGGCTGAGGGCAGGGAGGCCTGCGGGCCGGGCCGGGCAGCTGGACAGACAGGAACCCAGACCCCGGAGTTCCGTCCCACAGAGCAGGGGGGGCCGCTAGCCCCCCACGGCCCGTCACCCCAGGGGGACCCCTGCTCCCTCTCTGGAGCCCTAGACCAGCCACCCGGGAAGCCGGACCCCCTCCAGAGCCACAGGCCGACTTGTGAGCACCTCAGGCGGCCCCATCACTCGCTCCCCCAGCACGCACCCCACTACCGCATGCCGGGCGCTGCTGTCTGCCGTGCGCACCCAGCTCGAGCAAAACGGGCAGCGCCTGCTGCACCATCATGCTCCGCCGGGGGTGGCCAGGGCCCCGGTTTCCCGCCAAGGGAGTCCCGCCTGGCTTTCCAGGGCCGGGTGGGGGTGGGTCTCCCGAGGCTGACGCCCCCCTGCCCCCCACTCCTCTGCCCGCAGGGGGGACTGGCTGCTGAGCTTCGTGTACCGCACGTCCTCGGTGCAGCTCCGCGTCGCCGGCCTGCAGCCCGTGCTGCTGCAGGACAGGAGGGTGGAGAACGTGGACCTGTCCTCTGTCGTGAGTATCGCCCGTCCCTCCTAGGGCCCTGCGTTTGCCAGTGGGGGTGCGTCGTGACGCCAGCCCAGCCGCCCCCGGCCCCAGGGCCGCTGGCCCATTTCACCCCAGAGCCGGGAGGTCACAAGAATCTGCTTGGGAAGAGGTCACTCCTGTTTACAGGCGCCATCTTTGTGCCAGGGTTTTGTCACCAGGTTTGTCTCTAATTTACACAGCCCCTGGGGCCGCTGTGATTGTGCCTGTTTCACAGAGGAGGAAACCTGAGGCTTAGAAAAGTTCCTGTCGTACAACCTGCAATCAGTAGCCGAGACGTGCACCGCCAGAGCCATGCTCTTGGCCCTGCACTGGCGTCCCCGCCGCACTTCCCACCCCCAGTTGTCAGTCGGGGTACTGCTTCCCCCCCGAAGTCAGGAGAGCAGCCAGAGGGCGCAGGCGGAGGGATTGGGGCTTGACCACAGCAGGTGTCCCTGACTGCCAGGCTGTGACACTGTGAAATGCAGAGCAGGAAAAGTGTGTTCCAGGGACCTTCTGGTGGGGTTACGTAAAATGCAGGACACTCCTCCCCGCCCACGGGACACTGGGAAAAATAATAATATAAATAATAATATAATAAATAAGGAAATAAGGAAAATGCAGACCTTTAGATCAGTCTCTGGGGGTAGAGAGTCACTGAGACCTGACTGAGATTTGAAGATAGCACAGGAGAATATTCTGGCACAAAACACGTAAGGCCAGGGCTTCCTTAGGCACTGCTGCCACTGAAGCCCACAGGCCATGTCCTTGCCTGAGCCTCTTGCTCAGTCTGCCACCGTGCTGCTGGGCCATTTCCTCCTCACCTCTGTCGTTGTTCCCCAAGTGCCCAGGACACTCGCACCCAAGTCCTAACCCCCCAGAGGAACACAGATGAAGCAGCCCCCTGCCTTCCTAAAATACTTTTTTTTTTTTTTTGAGAGAGAGAGAGACAGAGCGCAAGCAGGGGAGGGGCAGAGGGAGAGGGAGACACAGAATCTGAAGCAGGCTCTGAGCTGTCAGCACAGAGCCTGACGTGGGGCTCAAACTCATGAACCATGAGATCATGACCTGAGCTGAGGTTTGAAGCTTAACCGAGCCACCCAGGCGCCTCAAACCCCTGCCTTCCTACTGTACTATTTAAGGGTCCCTGTTCCCTGAAGGGCTGAAGGAGAGAAGTGACTCTGCCTCACCATGCCCAGTCTCCCTCTGCCAGAAAAACAAAGGTGAAAAGGATCAGAAGAAACACCCTTGGACATGAAATTCCCGTTAAACACCACAAAGCCCTGGCAAGACCCACTTTCTGCCCTAGGAAGCCCCTGAGGGGGACACAGTGACAAGAGCACAGCCTCTGGCACCAGAGAGGCCAGGCTCTGCCACTGCTATACTGGCTGTGTGACCTCAGGCTGGTTATTCAACCTCTCTGAGCCTCTGTTTTCTCAATGAAATGGGGGGCAGGGGGGAATCACCTGCCTTCCAGAGCAGCGCAGGTAAGATGCTTGGTGCCTCATAGGCCTTCATTTAATACGAGTTCCCTCCTGTCCCGCCCCTGCCACCGTCTTCAAATCTTTCGCCCCTCAGACCCCTCTCCCTCCTTCAGACCGTCTTTGAGGAGGCTTCTGGCTTCGGCTCTTACCTGATCTCAGCTCTCTATCACTTTGGGAGCACAGCACAAACAAAAGCAGTGCCTTCCTCTTCTGGGTAATTGGAGGTAATTAGCATTTGCTTTTGTGCTGAAAATCCTTGCTGGAGGAGACACGGCTGGCGGCTGGCGAGGGGGTCCCCGTTGCTGCCGCAGGGACGCCGGCTGCCCAGGTGCTCCGGGCAGAGCCCTGCCTTCCCCCTGCGGGACCACAGGCCGTGCCTTTGCACGCCAGCCCAGCCTCAGCCGCCCACCCACACATGGCCTGCGGTGGCTCCTGGTCGCGGACAAGCCTGGCAGGGAGTGAGGGGCTGGCCGTGTCGCGGGCAGGCAGCTCCTGTTGGCGTGAGTGAAGCCAACAAGGGCCGATCCCCCTCCTGCCTTCCGGCCTGTCCCATGTGCGGACGGGGTGCCAGGGGTGGGGGACTCTGCCATCCCCAGGGCCAACCCCTGAGGCGTCATGGGGTTTCCACTCTTCACATCCCTAAGGAAATGCCACTGACTTCTAGAACTTGGCACAGGGCTGGGCTCGAACAATGGCAGTAAGAAAGCCAGCATGGGCCGGGCGCCGCTCTATGTTACAGGCCTTACGTCGTCAGTCCCCGCGGCGGTCCCGTGAGGTAGGGATTGTAGCCCCACTGTACAGATGTGGAAACTGAGGCTCCATGTGAGGGGTAGAGCCAGGTGAACCTGGGGGACAAGGCCGAGCCTGGGCTCTTCGCCACTGCACTCGTGCTGCCCGCGGCCACACGTCTCGGTGGTGTCCCGCCAGTGACCTCTACCTCCGGGGCAGAGGGTCAGCCCCCCGTGTCAGCTCTCTGACTCCTCACACCAGCGCACGTGGTGCAGGTGCCTCCGCTAGCCCCACTTTACAGATGAGGAAACTGAGGCCCAAGGGGTAAAGGAACCCAAAGGGGCCTAATGGGCTTGGAAGGAGTTATCGGCAGGCAGAGGCGGGCAGCAGCCCAGTGTAGGCGCGCCCCGAGGTGCCTTGCGAGGCAGCAAACAGGCGGTGCTGAGGCCACTGCAGACAGCGTGGGTCACGGAGCACAGGGCCAGCTGCGGGCAGTGCAGTGAGTTAGAAGGGGCCCCTGCGCTCCCTGGGCTCAAGGTCCGTCAGAGGATGCAAATGAGTGAGCGGATGAAGGCAATGGGGTGCAGCGAACACTGTCACAGAGGAGCCCCGGGGACGGTCCCTAGCCAGCGTGGGGAGGTCAGGGAAGGCTTCTCAGCCAGGCAGGCAGCAGATCTCAGTTAAGACAGCAAGGAGGTGGCCATGGGCTGGGATCTTTTTCTGGCATCAGCCACAGCAGACCTCACTGCTAAGAAGAACCTTTCCCTGCCCGCCTCACCTCTGCTCTCCCATCCCTTTGGCTAACTGTACAGTTGGAGCCGTCAGCAAGTTCTCCCCCTGGGTCTTGGCAGAGGGACGGGATTGGCCAAAACCTGGACCAGCGTGTAGCCAGGGAAGGCCAGAGCTGTGCATTCTAGAAGAGCTACGTGGTGGGATTTCCATCCACCGTCAGCGGTAGCCCCTGGCCACCGACGCCTCCCTTCCTTCCTGTCTGCCTCCACCCTGCCCAGCACTGGCCCATCACTAACAGTTCTTGTTTGTCCCCATGGGTCTAGGATTGTACTGGCTGGAACTGGGACGTGATGGCTAGAGCTTGAGCAGCCATTTTGGGTTCCCAAATGGATCAGTCCAGCCAACCCCCTACCTGTCCCTTCCAAGGAAACTAAGGCAAGGGAACTTATACTTTTTTTTTTTTAATATTTTTATTTATTTCTAGGAGAGAGAGAGAGACAGCATGAGTAGGGGAGGGTCAGAGAGAGGGGGAGTCACAGATTGGAACAGGCTCCAGGCTCTGAGCTGGCAGTCAGCACAGAGCCCGACGCGGGGCTCAAACCCACGAATCGTGAGATCATGACCTAAGCGAAAGTCGGACGCCTAACCGACTAAGCCACCCAGGCACCCCAAGGGAACTTATACTTATGTAGCCTCAGCAGCGTGCCAGGTGCTGTACCTCGTGGTTTGTATGTATTATTTCTTCCCCTGCACCCCGTGCGGTAGGTATCACCAACTCTAATTGGATAATGTCCTGTGAAAGTGTTTTGAGCCAGAATATAAGGGACATAATAGTTAGAGGTAACATATGCTGATTCCTACAAAGCGCCAGGCCCTTGAACTCTTGTAGACTTTCCAGGTAGGTATTATGACCTGCATTTTACAGATGGAGAAGCTGAAGCTCAGGACATTATAAGACTCACCCAGTTACTCGTAAGAGAAGGAGCTGGAACCCCCATTTCTCTGAGCCCAAAGTTAGGTTCTTTCTAGCGCCTTGCAGCCACTAATGTCCACCCTCTGTGGAAAGACGCTGGCCCACCTTGCCTTCCGCCTGGAGTGCGTATATGTGTGTGTGTTCGCTGAACGCTGCTAAAAAGCATTTGCAGAGAAAGGTTCTGGTTATGAGAAAACCACCAGGCTGTACAGGAAATTGTGTCTTTGTGTTCTTGAGAAATCATTTGAATGGCGTGTGATGTGTGGTTCCGGTGGGTGTTATCAGCAGAGCCTTCGCGTGGTTTCCTGTGCGTCCCCGGCGATTTTCCTGTCTTCCTCCTAAACAAAAAGGAATGCTCTGTGTTGCACTTGCCTGGGGCACTAAAGCAAAACCCCGAGACTGGCAGGGAGAGCAGGAGTGGGAGGGGCTGCATTTCAGGGAGCAGATCTGAGCCGAACAGCCTCTGCTGCAGCCTCGAGCACAGCACCCCACGGCTCAGCCTTCATGTGCTGTGTCAGGAAGCAAGCCACCACCCCTGTCTGGACTTTGCTTTCCTCTTCAGTAAAATGACAATGATTTTCACAGTTCCCTCACCCCAACCAATTCTCTATGAAGAGAACAGGCCCAGATTCAGATCCCAACGCGGGCACTTCCTAGCTAGATGACCTTGGGCAAGTCACCTTACCTCTGTAGGGCTCAGTCTCTTCATCTACAGTTAGCAGCCAATACCTGTCGCAGGACTATATCCATTCCGTTCATCTTCTGTGGTGTATTAAGGTCCTACTCTGTTCCATACTGGGCACTGTCCATTATCACCGTGAGGCATTGGGCATTCTCAGTCACCCCTATCCGTCACCCACTGCTACATGCCAACACAAACATGAGAGTGTCTTTGCTCTCTGAGGAAGAAGGTGGGCTCTTCTGAGTCCTCAGCCTTTGTCTTAGTAAAGATTCAGGTCCCTGGAACAGACGCCCAGCTGAAGTAGCTTCATCACACAAGAGTTGATGGTGACAGGAAAGAAAAGGCCAGACGAGGCAGTTCAGGGCTGGTAGCTCTGCAGTCCTCTTGCTTCCAGAGAGCCAACTCTGGCCCAACGTTGCTGCTCAGGCTCTGGCCATCACGTCTGAATTCTAGCAGGCAGGAAAGAGGACATTGGGGAAAGAAGGGCACTCCCCCCGCCTTTTTTTTTTTTTTTTTTTTTTTAAGTAAGCTCTACTCCCAGCACGGGGCTTGAACTCATGACCCCGGGATCAAGAGTCGCATTCTCCACTGACTAAGCCAAGCAGACACCCAAAAAAATAGAAACAAAAATAAGTAAAGAGGCACCCCAAGGGCACCACCTAACACTACTGCTTCTTCTCATGGCCAACACTTGTCACAAGACTCAGCTACAAGGGACAGGGGAGAATGTACTCAGCTATAAACCCGAATTCTCAGGACAGAGAAATGGGGAGAGAGAATTGTAGGATGTGCCCAGCAGTCTGTGCCACAGCTGTTTTCAATTTGGGGGCTTTTCCCGAAGGAATCCTCCCAGCAATGCTCTGATGTAGCTACTCTTACTGTTCCCATTTTACAGCTGAGGCGAGGCAAGTGGAGGTCCAAGAGATAGAGGGACTTGCTCAGGGTCCCACAGCCGTGAGCTGCAGAGAGCTTCTGCTGTACCTGAAAGCCGCTGGCACAGAATGAGAACTTCCATTCCGACTTTCTATCAGGAGATTCCTTCCTGCCCCCGAAGGACCCAGATTGTATAGAGAAGCATCCTTCATCTTTATTTTATAAACTCTAGGGGTGCCTAGGTGGCTCAGTTGGTTGAGTGTCTGACTTAGGCTCAGGTCATAATCTCATGGTTTCGTGAGTTCAAGCCCGGCATCAGGCTCTCTGCAGACAGCACGGAACCTGCTTCAGATTCTCTGCCTTCCTCTCTCTGCCCCTCTCCCACTCCCTCCCTCTCTCCTTCTCTCCCGCCCCCCTCTCAAAAATAAATAAAGTTAAAAAAAATATTTAATGAATTCCAGGGTGACCTTGAACCCAGAGGCTTCCCACCCCACTCTGGATTTGAGAGTCATTGAGAGCTGGACTTGTGGTGTCAGGGATCAGGTGGCTGAGGCTGCTGAGGGAGGAGGGGGAGGCCCAGGAGTGTGGCTTGGGGCTCTGTGGAGGGCAGGGCTCTGACCACCCATCACGGGTCACTCACTGTCCCCCTGCAGGTCAGCGGCCACCTGGACTACGCCAAGCAGATGGACGTCATCCTGAAGACTGTGGGCATCCACACCAGGCCAGGCTGGGGCGAGAAGGGGTTCCTGCTGGCGCCAGGCAGCCTGCCCCAGGAGGAGCCTCAGCAGACAGCAGCCACCTCCTCATCAGACAAGACCACACCGGGAGACAACCCCAGAGCGGCCACAGCCACTGACCCGGTGCCAGCAGGGCTGGATCCTGTCGAGAGTCCCCAGATCTGTGGCCACGGCATGGACCCCAACCCACTGGGCTGCCCCGATTGTGCCAGCGAGACCCAGGGGCCCTGCCCAGGGCTGGACTGACTGCAGAAGGGGACTGGAGCTGTCTTCCGAGGCTCCTACATGCAGCCCTCTCTTACCCCTCCACCAGGCGCCCCTCATGAGTCTGAATCCCACCAGTGCCCTTCCTGAGTTGATGACATTGGCATTGAAAAGAAAGGAATTGGAAGGAGGGGGAGGCGCAGAGAGACAGCGTTCCCTCCCTGAGCAAGCAAGGCCAGACTCCCGCAGAGATGACCAAGCACAGTTTGGAGCCCCAGGACTCAAGCAGCCTTGGGCTTCCTATATTTCAGGTCACAGGTGTGGGCTCTGGCTGACCATCTGGGGGCCCAGGGGTCTCTCTGGGGCCCAAGGCTCCCAAGGCACCATTCTCCCCAAGCTGCAGTAAATGCAGGTGAATGCCTGCTCTTCCATCCACACTCCAGGGCTGCCCGGCAGCCCACAGGCGTCACCGATGCACCTACAGAGCAGGCACAGATGCAGAGCCAGCAGCTTACTCTCTGCTCGTGGGAGATCTGATCAGATTTGCCTTGTACAGCTACCCAGGCTGTGCACTGCAGAACTACAGGAGCTTCAATCACATGGAGGTGATATAAAGGGCACCCTCCCCCAGTTGTGCTACGTGGTGGCCCTGGATCTAACTGTCACAGTGTGGTGACTATATGCTGAATCAGCATGCACAGTGGTAGGAATGGTTTTCCTATAACAGGAAGAAGTGATAATGATTATAATAATAAAATTAACAATAGCCACCACTTATTGAGAATTTACCATGGGCAGAGTACTTGTATGTGTTGTCTCAGCTGATGCTACCAATAACTCTATGAGGTAGCTACTATTATTACCTTCATGTAACTGAAGGTTATTGAGATCCAGAGAGGTTAGGTAACTTGCTTAAGGTCACACAGCTGGTCAGTTTCAAACTCCATTCAGACTCCAGACGCTTGGCCACTGTATCTGTATCTCCTTTGCTCCTCTCACTGTCCCTGAATGACAGTGCCAGAGAAGGTTCTCCTCCATTGTGCAGATGGGGAAACCAAGGCCCGGGTAGAGTAAGTATGACACACTCTGAGGCAGGCTGCCAGGAGGAGGATGGCAGAAGGAACTAGAAATATTAGTGCTGAATGGACCCTAATGTATGTGTTTGCTTGTTCATTCAACAAATGTTTACAGAACTCCTGCTGCTATGAGTCTGAACAGCCCATTTTGCCCAGGGTCTCAATCCACTTCACCAACTGCTTCTCCATCCCAAGGGGCCCCTCAAGCAAATCCAGTCCACACCACGGTCACTGCCTCAGGTAGTGTTTATTGGGAGTCCACTCAGGCAGGCCTGGGGGCGGAGGGGAAGCCCCAACAAGCACCATGACCCCTCTGTGGCTGGTGGCCTGGGCCAGAGTTGAATCTAATCAGCACCAAGGAGAGCGCCAGGCCGCGGGGGAGGGCCCCCTGGGAGTTTGGGTTGGTGGAAACTGGGGAGACCTCGGACTGAAAACTTAGGGCAGGTAAACTGTGGAGACCAAGAGTCCCCCCGCCTCAAAGACAACCCAGGCTTCTGTGCCAGCGTCCACCTACCTGCCCAAGGGCAGCAACCCATACCAGGGATTGCTCTGCTGAACCGAGTGGCCACCACTCCCGTTTCCCTAACTGACCCAGGGAATGCCAGAAGGAGGTGGGGCAGTGGGCTGATCTGTCCCCATCAGTTGGCTCCCCTCTAGGTCCAAGGAGGTCCGAGATGAAGGGAAACCTATTCCGGGTGTTGAGCAAGAAACCACCAGCCCCCACTTTGTCCCCAGGAGAGGCAGGGCAGCAGCCTGGGAGTGGGCATGGGAGCCCCACTCAGCATCCAGAGCTAGAAGTTGGGGGACCATAGCCAGGTGGTGGCATCTGGGCCAGGAGTTCTAACAACAGCAGGTACCATGTACAGCAGCAGCACCTGTAGGTGCCGTGTGTTCTGTTGTACACATGCCGTCCTAATTCTCAGGACACCCTAGGAAGCAGGCACCGTTACCTGACTTTGCACACGGAATAGCAGGCTCAGAGCTCGTGTAAGAGCTAGTGAGTAGTGGAGCAGAGATTCAAAGATCTGCCTTCCTGATGCCCAGGTCAGGTGTTTTTCTGTGCATCCAAGGCAGTGGCCAGACTGAAAACCAGCAAATCATCCTCAGGGCTAACGATCCTCCAAGTCAGCACATCTCCAACGGTAATGTGCACGCAGTTCACCTGGGGCTCTTGCTAACATGCATATTCTGACTCAGCAGGCCTTGTGGGGGGGGGGGGGTAACAGGTGTGCATTTTTAACAAACTGCAGGGAGGTGACACTAATGGTGGTAGCCCATAGATTACACTTTTCGAGGAGTGAGGGATTCAGCTCAGCACCAATCTGCCTCTGCAGACAGAGGCATCCCTTCCCTACAGTCTCCTAGAATGTCAAAGGAGATGACTGTCTTCTCCCCAAAACCTGAACCAAAAGGTCCTTTTCCTCTCCGCCAGAGTCCTTCAGCCACCGCCACACACATCCATGGGTAACACTCAGCAATGGAGCGTCCTGGAGAGAACGGTATCTGAGCCGGCTACTATCCCAGGGGGTAGGCAGTGGGGGCTAGCTCAGTGCACCCCACTGGGACTCAGAGGGCTCCTAGGAGACCTGCAGCCTTCAAGCCTTAGCCCAGAGCCGGTCCAAGGCCTTGGGGACTTGGTCTTATCCGGTCCAGCTCCTCACTGACCAGCTCCAAGCCCGGGTCAGTTCGTGGGAGCACCAAGTGGATGCAGCTTCAGCTGGGGCTCCACAGGATCGATGTCGAAGAAACTGACCACAGCAGTAACCCTGGCAGAGGGCGGGGGGTCCCGGGGGGCCTCTCTACGAAGCAGAGGCTGGGCCGTGCGCTGGGGGCCTGAGGAACCACCGGAGCCAGAGCCTGAGTCAGAATTGGAGTCAGATGGCAAGGGCAGCGGTAACACGTGCTGCAGGCTCAGGCCCGGCCGGGGACCGCTGTGAGAGGTACGCATGGAGGGTGACACCAGGCTGGCCCGGCGCTCCCGGGGGCAGTGGGAACAGGGCAGGAACCTGCCCAGGGCCCGCTTGAAGTCCCGCATGAAGAGTGGGTAGATGATGGGGTTCATGGTGCTGTTGCAGTAACCCAGCCACGTGAGGACATCAAAGAGGCCTGGGGAGATGCAGTCGCACACGGCCTGGAGAGAAGGGGTGTGTCATGCTTGGTCCCAGACCAGGCTCACAGACCACCCCACCCAGCATGGCTGGGACAGGCACAGACAAACACATATGCCATGAGAGGCAGCCCACCCTCCGTCCCCATGTCTGGACTGGGTGTGGTTCAGGGCCTTCCCAGCAAGGCCTGGGCTCACCTGCCCTCTGTGGTGGCATTACCTGCACTATGTTGGCCACAAAGAAGGGCAGCCAGGTCACAAAGAACATGCCCAGCAGGATGCCTAGTGTCAGACTGGCCTTTAAGGCCTTCCTGCTGTGCTTGGTGGTCAGATGCCTGCTATCAGCCGACTCCATCCCTGGGCGTGGGGTCCTGGGCACCTGTGGAATGGAAGGCCACATACATAAGATACTGAGAGGAAGCTCCAGCCCGACGCTGACCCCAGCCACAGACTAAGCCTTGATTCTAATTCTAGACTGGGCCCTAGTACCAGCAATAAACAGAGCCCTCCTGAGCCTTGAATGAGCCCCAAATGTAGTCCTAGATTCCCCAGTTGTAGACTTGACCCTGACTCCAGAGTGAACCCTCATCCTGGCTCTAGACCAAGCCCTGACATCAGCAATAAACCAAGCCCTGCTCATGGTCCCAGACTGAGCCCTGATAACTACTATAGGCTGAGACCTACATAACTACGGTCTCAAACTGAGCCTCAACTCTGGACTGGACTGAGCCTAACCTTAGCCCCAGACTGCGGCCTGAGCTCAGCAATAGACTGAACCCTGATCCTGGCCCTGTGCTGAGCCCTGACCCTGAAACAAGGACCTCTAGGAAAGGCAGTAAACAGAGCAACGCTGCCTCAAACACAAATCAGACAGTTCAGAAGACTCCCTTCCCTGGCCCACCCCACAAAGGACAACACTCAGTACAAGTTGACACACGTGACTGTGAGCCTCAGAACCACACCAAGCCTTTGGCCCTGCAAGAATCAGTTCAAATTAAACAGTACTTGACAGCAATCTCTATCAAAATAACACTGGCATTCTTCGCAGAGCTAGAACAAACAAACTGTAAAATTTGTATGGAACCAGAAAAGACCCCAAAGAGCCAAAGCAATCCTGAAAAAGAAAACCAAAGCTGAAGGCATCACAATTTTGGACTTCAAGCTGTATTAGAAAGCTGTAATCATCAAGACAGTGTGGTACTGGCACAAAAACAGACACTCAGATCAATGGAACAGAATAGAGAACCCTGAAATGGACCCATAAACATATGGCCAACTAATCTTTAACAAAGCAGGAAAGAATATCCAATGTAATAAAGACAGTCTCTTCAGCAAATGGTGAAGGGAAAACTGGACAGCAACATGCAGAAGAACGAACCTGGACCACTTTCTTACACCATACACAAAAATAAACTCTAAATGGATGAAAGACCTAAATGTAAGACAGGAAGCCACCAAAATCCTAGAGAAGAAAACAGGCAACAACGTCTTTGACCTCAGCCATAGCAACTTCTTGCTTGACACATCTACAGAGGCAAAGGAAACAAAACCAGAAATGGACTAGTGGGACCTCATCAAGATAAAAACCTTCTGCACGGTGAAGGAAACAATCAGCAAAACTAAAAAGCAACCGACGGAATGGGAAAAGATATTTGCAAATGACATCAGATAAAGGGTTAGTATGTAAAATCTATAAAGAACTTATCAAATTCAACACCCAAAAAACAAATAATCCAGTGAAGAAATGGACATAAGACATGAACAGACACTTTTCCAAAGAAGACAGCCAGATGGCTACCAGACACATGAAAAAATGCTCAGTATCAATCATCATCAGAGAAATACAAATCAAAAACCACAATGAGATACCACCTCACACCTATCAGAATAACTAAAATTAACAACTCAGGCAACAACAGATGTTGGTGAGAATGTGGAGAAAGAGGAACCCTTTTGCATGGCTGGTGGGAATGAAAATTGGTACAGCCACTCTGGAAAACAGTATGGAGGTTCCTCAAAAAATTAAAAATAGAACTACCCTACGCCCCAGCAATTTCACTACTAGGTATTTATGCAAAGGATAAAGGTGTGCTGTTTTGAAGGGGCACGTACACCCCAATGTTTATAGCAGCACAATCAACAATAGCCAAAGTATAGAAAAAGCCCAAATGTCCATCGACTGATGAAGGGATAAAGAAGATGTGGTATAGATACAGATATAGATATAAATATAGATATACCATGGAATATTACTCAGCAATCAAAAAGAATGAAATCTTCCCATTTGCAACAACATGGACAGAACTAGAGTGTATTATGCTAAGCGAAATTAGAGAAAGACAAATATATGACTTCACTCATACGGAGAGTTTAGATACAAAACAGATGAACATAAGGGAAAGGAAGCAAAAATAATACAAAAACAGGGAAGGGGAACAAACCATAAGAGGCTCTTAAATACAGAGAACAAACAGAGGTTACTAAAGGGGTTGTGGGTGGGGGATGGGCTAAATGGGGAAGGGGCATTAAGGAGGACACTTGTTGGGATGAGCACTGGGTGTTATATGCAGGGGAGGGGACGAATAACTGGATTCCACTTCTGAAA